AAGAAAAAACCCCTCCCCCCCCCCCAAAAAAAAAAAAAAAAAAAAAAAAAAAAAAGATTGATCAGTCCCTGAACCACAAAAAGTAAATAAGTCTGTGGATCCAGCTTCAGAGGTCCATCTTGCTTAAATCATTAGGGTTTTTCTTATCTGAATAAACCAAGGAGTGCCCCTCATCTCTGTCCTGAGCTTACTGTAGGTCGCAGATGACAAAGACACCCTGAAAAAGCAGCTATGTTCTGAAAGGCCGTGATAGGAACTCAGGATCTCCCCCTCAAAGTCAGATCTGAACAAAATATTTGACCTGGCTTCCCTCTGCTCCCACGTATCTGGTCTGTCCCAGATATGACCACAGCCCACAGCCCCAGTCTGAGACACGCTGGTCCCCTCATAGTTCAGCCATGCACTTGCTAAGGACACTTTGGAATTAAGTCACAAATACACACTGCCAGCACATGACAGCTGTGCAGCCGGAGCTCCCCGGCCAAACCTGTGAAACCAACGGACGTTCGGTCTTTGAGTGTGTGTGGTCCTTTGAAGAAAGTCTTCAGAGCCCTGGGTCACCTGTTAGAACTCCCGACATTAAGTCAGACCACGAAGTGAGGGCTTTTCAGGGTGATGTGTGTTGCCCCTCAGCTCACACTGGGGAGGCAGTGAGCCAGCTGGGAAGCCGAATCCACCAGCTACCGAGGCCGTGCCAGCTCATCCGCCCCGCAATTGCCCTAGTGGTGTTTTACTGAAAGTCCCTCTGATAGGGCTTTCTAAGGCTCAGCTCTTTGGCTCTGCTACAGAACAAGTCCCCCGACTGACTTTTCCATGACCTACTTGAGATCAATTTGTTTAGAGTGCGTCACGAGAGCCCCAAGGAAAGCAGTCGGCCGGGGTGGGGTGCCCCAGCACAGCCTGGGCCTCGGCCAGCTGAGGAGCACCACCCTGAAAAGGGGGATCGTTTCCAGGTCATGGCTCTGAGCCAGCACCACTCTATGCCAGCCGCCTGTAAAGGAGACAGCCACTGTAGGAAGGGGTCCTGCCTCCTCTCAGTGGGCCCTCACGTAGGCAAGTGACATGAACGAAGCCCCGCTCAGATGTGACCTCTTGAGCCAAACTCCAGGATGGAGACAGCATCTTCCAAAGCAGTGGTTAGCAGCACTGCCAGGGAGGACCAAGTCTCTTCCGTATCCTGCTGCTGGCCAGCCTCACCCGGCAGTGGTTTCTCAGCAGGGTAAACCCCAAGTTCTCCACACACCAGCCCCACAGAACGTGGGCAAGCATGGAAGGGCATCTGTCCCTGGGGCACAGCTGCTCAGCTGTCGCCGTGACCAGGGGCCTGTGGGAACAAGGCAGGCCATCATCCGAGAGCTGCATGGTGCACGCACATCTTCACCCGGCCCTGGT